CTATCCTATCCTATCCTATCCTATCCTATCCTATCCTATCCTATCCTATCCTATCCTATCCTATCCTATCCTATATGATGTTTTTATTCCACAAGCCTGTCATGATCCTGCCTGGCTGACATCAGCTTTCTCCACACTTGGCACCAACACCTTTGGTTCCACAGCCTTCCTGCTTTCCTAACAGATCTTGAAACTAGGAAGCTGATTTTCTCCACACCTTATCTTCTCCCAGACAAGCCCGGAAAGKGGTTGGTTCAGGGTCATTCCAGGTGTGTTGCAAAAAAAAAAGAGGAACTATTGTGCTCCTACTTTGGAAAGCAAAGTGAGAGGGCAACGAGGTCCTATTGCACCAAATCCCAAATTTCCAGCCCCCAGGGCACTGGGTGCAGGCAGCACTTCCTCCCCAGCTGCCAGCTCTGTAAGCACACCCCTTAAGCAAGGRGGGAGGCTGTGGGAAAAGGCTTTGGAAAAGGCTGAGTAAAAGGCTCAGATAGCCTGCTGGGATAACCATTCTAAAAAAAAAAATTCCATTAAACAGTAAAAAAAAATTGGAATATTTGCTTTCACAACACAGCGATATACGAGCTGAAGAGGGCGGTTATATTTAATATAAAAAAGGAAAATTGTGAATCAATAATAGTAGATAGCAACTGAGAAAAACAAAAGCTAAAAATTAAACTAGGAAAAAAAACATTTTAATGTGGGAGGGAAAAAAATTTGAAAAATGAAACACTGGGGCATGGTTATGTCTCAGGCAGGAGGAGAGAATCCTTGCTGCAGAAAATCAAGTTGACCTTGGTTATRGAGGAGAATATGTAAATAAAATAAAATGTGCAGTTGGGGGGGCCACAGCGGCCGCTGTTCCTGGGGTCCAGCTTTGGAAGGATGGATCCCATTTGCTCCCACCCCAAATACCCCCCACACTGCAGAACCTGCTCAAAGCCTGTCCCTGTCCCTGTCCCTGTCCCAGCCCAGGGGCCTCCCTGAAACACAACCCCATCAGGAGGATAATGGATTTTTTGTCTGGATTTCTTTGGTGGTGGGTTTTTATCCCAGACTCCCCACCGGACCCAAAAAGTGGCAAAACCCTTCCCCATTTCCCAGCCCGACCCTCCGGCCCCAGYGGGTGGGTGTGATGGGAGGCAGGTGGGGACAAAGTGCTGCTGGCGGTGTCCCCTCTGCTGCTGAGCACACAAAGGCTCCTTTGTCCCAAAGGAAACGTGAGGAAACCTGCCTGAGCTGTGACCTGAGAATGGTAGCACTGAGAGCTGGCACCGGGGCAGAAACTGCCATAGGGGAGGATGAGGAAAAGACACTGGATCTGCAGGGGATCTGCAGGGGATTCACAGGGGATCTGCAGAGGATTCACAGGGGATCTGCAGGGGATTCACAGGGGATTCACAGAGGATCCACAGGGGATTCACAGAGGATTCACAGAGGATCCATAGGGGATTCACAGAGGATTCACAGAGGATCCACAGGGGATTCACAGAGGATTCACAGAGGATCCACAGGGGATTCACAGAGGATCCACAGGGGATTCACAGAGGATTCACAGAGGATCCACAGGGGATTCACAGAGGATTCACAGAGGATCCACGGGGGATTCACAGAGGATCCACAGGGGATTCACAGAGGATTCACAGAGGATCCACAAGGGAACACCACGCTGCCCTTGGCATCCAGCTGCCTTCCTGACCTGCACAGCTCACACAGTCCAGGGTGGGCTCAGGAGGAAAGATGTGGCATATTTAACAACCCTTTTTGGGACCAGGCTGAAGGAGCCCCAGCAGCCTTTGAAATCACAATATTTAATAAATTTGGTGCTGCCCTTTTGCAGGTGTCGGAGCACAGTTACGCCACGCCAGCCAGGGTGCTCCCATCCAACCTGGTCTTGAACACTTAGAGGGGTGGGGTGGCCACAGCTTCTCCAGGTAACCTGTGCCAGGCCCTCATCACCCTCACAGGGAGGAATTTTTTCCCAATATCCCATCAAACCCTGCCCTGTGTCAAGGGGAAGCCATTCCCCCTTGTCCTATCACTTCAGGCCCTTGTCCAAAGTCCCTCTCCAGCTCTCTTGGAGCTCCTTTACATAYTGGAAGTTTCTCTAAGGTCACCCTGAAGCCCCCTCTTCCCCAKGCTGAGCAATCCCAGCTCCTGGGAGTGTCCAGCCCATCCCCAAGCCTTGCCATGACCAACCTGCACAATGTCAGTGAACACGGTGTCAGAGACGCCTTCACACAGTGCAGCCACGAGCTGCAGGACCAGCAGCTTCCTCCCCTGCCTGGCCTGGTGCTGCTCCAGCTCCAGCAAACTCCCTCCAGGCTCCACAGCAGGGTTTGGAGCCACCTCGTCCTCTGCAGCCACCTGAGTCAGCTCCTGCAGGGAAGGGCACAGCAAGGCAGGGGTTAAACACTGGAACCAGTGCCAGGAACGACAGGTGAGTCCTCACACCACCATCACCTTCCAGCCTTTGGTACATGATGGCCTTGGAGAGTTGTGCACAGCTCCTGGGCATCCCATTCCTATCCTGCCCTGTGACTGTGGGCTGGGGGCACAAAACCCAACCCAGGCCTRGAGGGATCCAAGTGGGATCAAAGGGAACAGGTACAGGGCCCCTCTGTGACAGCCAAGAAACAACAGGGATTATCCCCAGCCTCCAACACACTTCAGACAGCCCAGGGAGGGATGGGAGTTAACCCCTTCAGGAACAGGGCAGCCTCCTCTCCTTGGTTTCCCACCCAGCACATTCTGCACACAGGGATGATCCCTCTTCTGCCTTCTGCCTGTCCTGGGAACCCCTTCCCACAGGGGTGCCCCAACCAGGGACTGGCTGCCCTCACCTTCAGGCAGTGGATGAAGAAGTCTCCAGCCAGACCACTCTTCTGGCAGTGGGACAGGAGCTCCACCAAGCTCTCCACGTGGCACTGCTCTGAGGAGATCTTCTGGTACAGGGCCTCATCTTCGTCACTGGAACAGGTCACTGTGTCACCACCACAAACACACCCAGAACCCCCTGACCCCCAGACTCCAGGGCATGGTGAAATCCCAGTCTGCATTTCCCTGGAAGCCTTCCTTCCCAGCATTTCCCAGCAGAGCCCTGGAGGCAGCTGAGCCAAACAYTGCCCAGGTAATTTGGGCTCTGTTTATTAACTAACCTGTGCTCATTAACAGAAACCATAAGCATGAAACGTACATTTAATCCAGCCACCCCATAAATAACAGGATTAGTGCTGTTTAGTGCTTAGGCAGTGGTCAGAGTGGTGGAAGCAGGGCCATAACAGAASAAGTTTAAAGTATTCCCAGTCTAAGCAAGGTAGAGCTGCTTTTAATTGTGGCCTTCCAGTACCTGAAAAGAGTTTATAAAAAAGTTGGAGAGAGACTTTGAACAAGGGCCTGGAGTGACAGGACAAGGGGGAATGGCTTCCCACTGACTGAAGGTGCGTTAAATGGGATATTGGGAAGGAATTGTTCCCTGTGAGGGTGGGGAGGCCCTGGCTCAGGGTGCCCAGAGCAGCTGTGGGTGCCCCTGGATCCCTGGCAGTGCCCAAGGCCAGGCTGGACGGGGCTGGGAGGAACCTGGGATGGTGGAAGATGTCCCTGCCCATGGCAGGGCATGGAACAAGATGAGCTTTAAAGTCCTTTCCAACCCAAACCAGCCTCTAATTCTAACTCAGGTCAGGAATAGCCTGAAAAGAAGCCAAACCAAAGGTACTTGCAGGGATTTTGCTGTGGGTGCTCCCAGCCCAGCCCTGGGCACAGCTGTACCTCTGCCTGCCCCACAGCATTGCCCTGGGCCCTCCTGTCACCTCCCAGCCCCTCTGTTCACACCCAGCCTCCCTCTGCTGGGTGTCCCAGGCTGCCTGGCTGGAGACTAAAGGCTGCACTTTGCTCCCAGCATGGCCAGCTCTGCCTCTACTTAGAGACCATCTGCCCACACCGGAGGAGCTCCACGGCTGCTCTGTGACACTGGCACTGCCACAGTCTGTGTTGTGACAGTGCCACCTGTGCCCCAGGGACTCTGCTTGTTGTGTCACTCAGACTGGAGGCTGGAGGTTGAATTTGGGGGCCGTTTGGATTGAAAAAGCACATCCCATTGGCAGACTCTGCACAGGCAGGGCTCAGGAGTCAGGAGAAGCAGGCAGGGAGTGCACAGCAATGCTTTTGGGGGCTGCCAGTCAGRGCTCTGCACCATGTCCAGGGAACCTGGGGCTGTGTGGGCTGGGTGAGAGCATCACTTGCCTGGCTCGAGGGAATGAGACCCTGCTGGGATGGCACCAGCAGCCCCCTGTTTGCCCAGGCTCTCTCTGCCAGGCTTCCCCAGGGAGCCCTGACTGACCCCAGAGACTGTCCCATAGCACTCACCTGATGGTTTCCTCCACCACGACAGCAGCACCACCCTCACTGCCCACACGGAGCTGGCACTGTGGGTGAAGGGTGGGCACATGGCTGCTCAGCCCAGCCAGACCCTCCAGCACAGCCAGGGACCGCTCCCGCTCCGCCTTCTCCAGGAACCACAGCAGGATCTCCTGGCATGGGGAGCTGCCAAGGAGAAAAGAGCCAGTGGTGACATTGCTCTGCCCACTGCACCCTCCCTCAGATGTGTTTTGGGATCACTGGAGAGCTCCAGAGTGGCCACGGGCTCTTTTTTGGATGCTCCAGCAGATGAATGCATTTGTGCCTGTTCCCAAGGCGATCAGCAGCACATCCTGCCCTTCTGGTGCTCCCAGATGGAAGGATTTGGGTCCCTCCACACTTCAGGCTGGCAAGGAAGAGAGCAGTGTGAGCATCCCTGGCACACCCTGCCTGTGCCTCACACCGAGGTGACAGGGACTGGTGGCCAAGGGAGAGGAGGAAGGAGATGGGAGCACTGAGGTGGTGTGGGGAGCCCTGCCAAGGAAAGAAGCAGGTTAATGATGTGGAGCAGCCTCGCTGWGCTGTGCCAGGGGTCTGGAAACCCGAACACTTCCAGGCAGCTGCAGGTTCAGTCATCCCTGCCAAATTCCTTAGCAAAGGAAGCAGTGACTGCTGGCCCAGCAGCAGCGTGCACTTGGCACGTTCCACCAGCTTGTCACGGCACTCACTGCTCTTTGAAGTGATTAACGATGCCTTTAATAACAGCAGAGGCCGGGTCTATGCACACCTTTTAGGGAAAGCCTCCACACGCCAGCATCCCCAGAGCACAGCACAACCCCACCAGGAATGGTTTTACCAGGCTGGTCCTAACTCCAGGGAAAGCCTGGGGGAGCAAGGAGAGAGGACAGGCAGCACCTAGTCACCCCTGTACCTTCACTGCACACTACTCACGGCGAGCTGGGCATGCCATGGGGGATCAAGTCCTGATTGTACCAGAGGAGAGTGATCCTGTACTCCCAAGAGGCAGTGCTTGAGCTGTTTATCCAGATTTTATGCTATTTGTAGACCCCTGCAGCCTGTTTCCAGCACCACTACCTCCATCCATTCACAACCATTGCAGAGGCATGCTGTGCTCCCAAGGGCACGCTCGCCTCCACATGGAACATTCTGACTTCAGGGAATTCAAAAAGGAACATGAGAACTGCTTCCTCAGGCACAGGGCTGCTGTGTGCCCTGCCTGTGGTTACTGACTGCTTGGAATRAGAGTGCTCTGGGCTGAGGAGATGGATCTCTGCTCCTGCCTGTGCCCCTGGCTGCTGGAGAAACCCAGCAGAAGCCGAGTACAAATGCTCCCTTACCGTAAGTATGACACATTCTGCTTGGCGAAGGAATAGAGAGAAAAAACCACTCCCAGCACTGACTGTAAGGATCCCAGCAGCAGGCTGGAGCTGTCATTGCCAACCACATACACCTACAGAGAGAAGGGCACAGGGGGAGAGTCAAACACCTGAATGGGGCAGAGGGGAGCTCAGGGCAGCTCTCAGGGATGGTGGTGGAGGATTATCATCCTCTTTCTTTGGTCTGGAGGCTGTTTTCTCTGATTATGCCACATTCCCTATTAAAACTGCCTTCAGCACCATCTTTCTCTGAGCATTTGCTTAACCACAGCAGGCTCCAAGCTACAGGAAGGCTGCAGACAGCATTTGAGGAAGTCTGCTGCTTGAGGGTAAGGTCCTGCCCTACCCAGAGGTGCAAAAGGCCCCTTAGAATGAGCAATCTTTATGGAATTACTGTAAATCTCAAACACAGAGATCAGTCACTATCAGAGCAGCTGGGTTGGTRGGTGCTGAGCTGAGGCATTGGGCTGTGGGGCTCTGGGGGGATTTCTGGGGCTCTGRGAAGATTTCAGGGCTCTGGTCCTGTCCTCCACCTCAGCCAGCTGTCAATGCCCTCCACAAACCCAGACCACCCTTCCCAGCTCACCTCGTTGCTCACAGAGCACAGGAAACACTCACAGAAGCCTCAGTTTCCTTTGGGAAAGGAATTATTCCTTCCTTTTAAAGGAATTATCCAAAACAAAAAGCTGGATAAGGTGCTTTCCCACAGTCAGAGCACTAATGCTGGGAAATTTGATTTAGAAAGTGGTTAAATACCAAACCCTGCCAGCTGGACTTGGGGTTTACTCAGGGTTGCTGTGTTCAGGTCCTGGCTTTGGAAGACTCTCCCTCCATTGATTTTACCTTTAAAAAAGGGTAAGATGGGGAAATAAAGTCTTTTCCCAAGTTCTCCAAGCTGTCTCAGGTTGCCAACTACCTGCTCAGAAGGTGTTGTTCCTTCACAGCAGAGTCCCTCCTCTGTCCTCCCATTCCTCATATCTCCCACTTCACTCCCTTCACCTCTTACCTTTTCTCCACCCCTCAAACCTTCTCCCCACACCTCCAAACTCCTCTCCACACCTCTGGCTTCCTGTTCCCACACCCTGGGCCTCCACAACAATCCCTGCTGCAGKGCTGGAGGTGCCCTGGGGACAGAGGTGCTTGAGGCAGTGTGACAGCAGGAGGGAGATGGTCCCCACAGGGCCCTGCCCTGCCCCATTGATGCAACCAGACCTGTTTTTTTGTTTCTCTTCTCTAATCCCCACGGAGCCATCCCTCCCCCCCAGACCCTTGTGTACACAAAGCCTCCCCCGATGAAGCCCCAAGGATGGTTTCTCACCAAGCATCAAATGACACTTGCTAGGCAAGAAACCCCCCCAAATGTGGGGTCCCCTCACTAATCTGGCTGCTGTCAGGCCTCCAGCTCTCTGCCATAAAGGAGGGACCCACCCCAACCCCCCCAGCGCTGCACTGGGAGGGAGCAGCCCTCCAGACCRGTCTCTGCCTGCCAGCCAGTTACAACAGATCATTACTGGGAAAATAAGACAACAATCCCAGCATTTAAGAGCTTAGCCTGCCTCGGGGCATGCCAGGAAGCAAAGTCACCAGCTTCTGAAATTTGAATTCCTGGACTAGAGATGTCCTTCTGGGTTGGAACGTGCAGCAGGAAGCTGCTGGAGCCTGCAGCGTGGCACTGGGGATACTGGTGGGAATGGCAGGAAATGGGGATTATGAGGGGAGACACCTCCACAAAACGCCCTCATCCTTCATAGGAAGCACAAGGATGGATCCCACCAATCCCACAAATGCCAGAACCAAGATCTGTGCTCCAAGGAAATCTTACAGCTCCTTCCAGKGCCYAAAGGGGCTCCAACAGAGCTGCAGAGAGACTTTGGACAAGGGCCTGGAGTGACAGRACAAGGGGGAGTAACTTCCAAMTGCCAGAGGATGGTTAAAYRGGATATTGGGAAGGAATCCTTCCCTGTGAGGGTGCTGAGGCCCTGGCACAGCCCGTGTGGAGGTTGCGGTATCCTGCAGATGAAGATGAGGTGACTGAGCACGACTGCAGAGACAATGGGTTTGTGTGGTCCATCACACACTGAACTGCTCACCAGCTCTCAAAYCAGCCTTTTTCTCACCCAAAGCAGACATGGTTACCTTGAGCACATCTTCCACACAGCTGCCCAGCTCTGCCTCTGGCACCAGCACAGCCCCTGCTGCCAAATYCTCCAGTGCTAGCTCTGAAAGCAAAGGGCAGAGACCTTTGAGCCCCCTCAAAACAGCCTGGAGCCCCCATGAGCAGAGCCACCCCACTATTCCCTGCACCTGAAAGCACTTCCATAACTCCCTTCCCTCCCCATGGGAAGAAACCAGCTCTCATTAGCTGTGTTAATCATGGTGCAGTGCTCTACACCCCCAAGGACACATGGAAATCAAGGCAGACCACAACTCAGAGATGGATGAATCTCTGGAGAGCTGCTGGTCAGTGTGGGGAAACCATGGCTTCCCATCCAGAAGCCCAGAACAAAGGCATGAATTTCAGGAAGAATGAAATTCATGAAGAATTTCAGGAGTGCATGGCAGAGCCAAACACTCAGCTCCATCTGCAGTAACTGGACTCAAGGAGCAGCAAACACAGTGCAACCAGACAGACTGACGGCCAGCACTGAGAGCTGGGCTCCCACACTCCACAGCCTGGCTGCCAGCCCGAGAAAATTCAGATGGAATGACAAAAAAAAAAGCAGTGAGGAGAGAAAGCAGAGCCCTCTCTGATGCAGTACCTGCAGCCTGGGAGCAGCGGYGGAGCGGGGCCAGCAGGGGCTGGAGCAGATGCCTCTCTGCCAACTGGGGCTGCTCCCGGGCCATGGTGAGCAGAGTGGTGGTGGCCACACGCTGGAACTGCCGCGCTGCTGCTTTGTCCTGGATGTGCAGTAATTCCAGAATCTGCAAGAAAAGCCCACGATAAAGGAACAAGGATCAGCACCCCCTCAGAGGGGGCAGCCTGGCTCCAGGTGTTGCCTTGAAAGGCCAGTTTTTAATAATGACACAGACACGGTTAAGGGGATAAAAAGGGTTTTACCTCGGTATTTGGGATCCCAGGTGCACAACTTGATGGCAGAATGCACMCCCGTGTACAGCACGGGTACAAGTTTTATAGGATTCAGGAATTAGCATATCTATCTAGGATTCCCCAATAAGAAACTTAACAAATGCAGTAATGTCCCCCTATTCTAATGAATCTCCCCCCAGATGAGGCCAGAGCCCAGTTTACACAGGATGTTCCAGAGAGAAGGCTTCACCCAAGGCTGGAGCCTTGGGTTTAAGACAGCACAGGGCACACTGACTCCTTCCTCAGGATGTTTGGCCTCTCTGCCCAGCAGAACTCCTACACTAAGCTGGAATATCAAGCTTCAGGAATTACAAGCATGTGGACTAAGGGTTACAGGGGAATGCACAGAGGGTATAGAAAGCGTAAAAAGGAAAAGCAAAAATCATCAGGCATCACAGGCAGCAGCCAAAGARCTGCCCATGTGCTGCTTTGCTGGGMATCTGGCATGGCATTCCATGTGTGGAAGAGCCAGGATGCCTTTCTGGGCTCAAAGCAGAAGCCYGCACCACTCCCAGAGCCAAAGGCTGGAGGCAGGAGCTCCACACAGAGCTCTGTGCAGCACAGTGCCAAGCACCTCGTGTGAGCAGACAACATCATCCAGCATTTCGACAAAACATGGAAAATTCAAGAGTGGAAACATGTCCTACTGCCAGAAAAACACATCCAGACCGTGCTGCTCGAGGCAGGCCACACTCAAGTACCAGCCCCAGCCTCTCCAAGGCAGGAGCTGGCTCCACAATCCCAGCAGAGGGGACGATGGGCTTACCTGTGGGCACACCTGTCTGTAGTARTCCTCAAGGGACAGGCACTGCTGTGGGCACGCTGCCAGGATCTTCCCAACTGCATCACACTTCCTCCAGTCCAGAGCTGCTGCTTCAGYGCCAGCACCACCTGCAACAGCAGCAGAAATCCCCCATCAGCTCTGACCCACGGCCAGCTCGGGCTGAAGCCAGGTGTTCCGAGCCAAAWATTGGATTTTGAGCTTTTACTGCTCCTGTTAAACCAAGCATCTTTCAGGAGACAYCTGAACTTAAGGATAGAAAGGGGAAAATCGCTGTGCAAGAATTTTGATAATGGAAAACAACTTCTACAGCCAGGTGGGTGAGCCAAAGGGTGGGGAAAGGCTGTGTTTGGATGGTACCATCAGGTTGGAATTGGCTGGAGGAGATTTTGGCACTAAAAACTGTGGGATTCAGCTTTTTGGGGAGCAAAAGCTTCCCTCCCTGGCAGGACATGGAGAGCAGTGGATGGGATGGGATGGGATGATGGGATGGGATGATGGGATGGGATGGGATGGGATGGGATGATGGGATGGGATGGATGGGATGGG